ATAGAAATAGTCTCAGTGATAACAGTCCAAACACATACAGTGTATGCTTTGCTCTTACATCACAAAGAAGTGGTTAAATGACCTTAGTCAGACTAAATAAGAAATAATAAAGTTAAATGATGAATCATTCTGAAAATCTTAATGCCCTTAAATAATAACAATAAATGAGCTTAATAAATTAGCTTAATGATCATATAGCACGTACGTATTTCCTAGCTATTAACTTTTTTCTTGACATAAAGCATTCACTTTCCTGTGCAAACATTTCTGCTGTGACTTGTGAAGTGCATGTTAAGTACTCAAGGACAAATACCTTCACAGATAATTTCTCAAAACTTACTCTAAGAATTTGAGCAGAGCCTTCATCTAAAACAGATCTCTCCTATAACATTTCTATGTGCAGATCAGAATGGTTCTTTATTTTAATATTAATATATATTTTTAATAATACTTAAAGAATACATCTGAAAAAAAAACTACAAAGAAAACAGTAAAGCATAGCATACACAATCTTTATTCACATACCCCTCTTTTATCAAAAACCTTGATTAAGTAATTGCTATTTCGTACATGATATGATGGCATTATAAGCATAATTTTAGATTTAATTTCAAAGTTTTATGTGTATGTCTGATTAAGTCATTTGTAAATTGCATTTTAGCTTTATGTTCAGTGAAAAGGGTATGTTAATCCATCCATCCATTCTCCATAAGGATCATAGCAACTCAAACAAACAATGAACCTTTGAAATTAACAATGTAAAGATATGCCTAATTTACAAGAGACATATATTCTTTTAAGCTGAGACAATTAATAATTAATGTCAATAGCAAAAGCTACCTAGTACTGACAAAATAAATTTATTTTTTGTATATAATTACCAAGAGACAAAGTCAGTAGGGCATAGGTTCATTTAAGTTGTGTATGCTGACTTGATGCATGAACTCTGATTTTCGTTATAAAACTGTGATTAACATTGTATTCACTAGGGGGCGATAAAGATCGTATTTCCTTAGGAACAAGTGCCCTGTTACATTCACAAGTATCCTGGAGGAATGGACAACCCACTACCACTACAGTATCAATGCAGAAATAATAGATGACTGTTCACTGTTAAAGCCCCCATAACGTACTGCTCTAGACAGAAGGTAGGTTTCAAAACCTACATATCAAAGTAAATCTCATGCAAGCTGAGCAGCTTGCCTCTACAACATTTCCTAGGTTCAAACTTGTTCTTATGGCCAACTATTGCATCTTTGATTATTGTTTATGTAGTCTTTACAGAGAGAGAAAAAAAGAGAGCATTTTAAAGAAAAAAAGAGAAAAAGAGTCCCTTAAAGGGTGGGTGGAGGCTGAGCTAAAAAAGAAAAAAAAATAGTGCCATACTAGTAAAATTAAACCTTTTCATCTTACTGAGTGTGTAAATTTGCACTGTTACTGGAATACATAGTAATAAATTACCTGCCTTTCAAACTGTGTTAAGTAGTCAGACAAAACTGTGTGTCTTTCCTGGCAGCGCAGTCGATGCACTAATTAGAAGCTCCATCCATTCAAGCAGAGCAAAACTCAGATCACACTGTAAATGATATATTAATTGCTTTACAACGTGTGGCTCATTTTCCTCTACTGCTTTTTGCAAGGATCCTTCTTGTGCACTCAAGAGACTAATATTTCCCCTACAAACAGTTATCCATACTTTCTGAAAAGCGTAAGATGTATTCATGATTTTTTTTTCTCATATACTGTAATGAGGTCCTGGACAGTACCAATGAGATTATAAAACACAGCATGTGCACTCAGCTGCTACATATTTACAGCAGATATTCTATGAAACAACACCAAACTAAATAGTATTTTGTATGTTTAACATATTCAGTAGATTGAAGAAACATATGCTTTTAACTCAATGGTCAACATTATGATGGTTATACTGTACTTCATCAACCTTCACAATTCAAATGCACAATGTACATCATTTGATAATGTACAGTACCTTAAACTGTGTAATAACAGAAATATAACAAGAAATGTGCCCAAACTGATATATTTTAGTTGACTCTTATACAATCTAAGATATCGTATTATTAAGGTGTCAGGAAATACCTAAGTATTAACCTCTTGGGTACCACTCTTAGCAAAAAGATATCTTGGAATTAGTGGTATCTTTAAGCTGCCTAGGGTTGCCATAGAAACTCCTTTTTGTTTGTGGTTGAGGGGGAGGGTTAAGCCTGCAGCAATTTCTCAAAAAAGAGAGATTCTTAATTAAGACAGAAGGTCCCTCATAGAGAAAAAAGTGCATTTTATTTTAAAAAGTACATGCTTAAAAAATTATTGCTTTATTTCCACAAACATATATCCTCTTTCATGTTTAGGAGCTGCCATTTCTAAAGCAAAATTCTAGGCTATGTATGGTGTTCACTACAGCAGAAGTATAAAAATACCTCCAAAGACTACTTCACATTACATTTGTATATTAAAAATATTAGTTTCAAGATC